CCCCGGAGGCGCCCTCGGGGCCGGGGCTCCCCCCGGGGGCCGGAGCGGAGCGCGGAGCCCGGCGGAGGCCGAGGGCCAGGCGGGTAACCAGGCCTTGCCCCCTCGCTTCGGCTCGGCCCTGAACCGCCTTCAGCCTGCTTCTGGACCAGAGCGGGCTGTTTATCCTGTCGCAAGTAAAAAAGTCAGGGCGGGAGCAAAAGGAAAAACAAAGTCTGTTTTTCAAAGAATAAGGCTTCACGGCTGTATTGGCGTCTTTTAATGCCGAGGGCCAAACGCAACGATGGAAGCCAAGCAGCTCGACGTCGTGGCAGCAGCGGCCTCGGTGGGAAAACCCCGGGCACGGGGAAGGGAAACGACGGCTACGGGGAACTACCTCAGCCATGTGGGGAATAAAGAAAAGGGCTAGGGAGGGCAGGCTAGGAAAAGTGAAATTCTTTTGTCTGTCGGCCTGTCCTCCCGGTGACACGGGATCCCTGCTATTAAGAGCCAAATTCTGTTGAACAAACAAAATGAGGGAATCTGTACTTGCGGAAAGATTGAAAGAAATAGAAATCTAAAAATCTGGTGGGACTGTAAATGTACACAAGACCCTCCCTCCGCAGAACACATTTCCCGGAGAGGCTCGGGCCCTTGGCTCTCCTTCCTAAGTGAGGCGGCGCTCACCGCTGTGTTCCCCTCCCTAGGCGATAGATGAGAGCACAGACGTGAGGCCGTCTGCTTTCTCCCTCTCCCAGGGGTTTGAGGGGTCTCTGCTCCAGGCCGTAGCCGCTTTTCATGCAGGCGTTCCTTCTCTAAAAGGTAAAAAGGGTGACTGCTGCTCTGTGCATCGCTGAACGTGGGTAACGATAATTAAACCCAGACATGCCTTCCTATCCAGCCAAAAGGCTGCGGCTCCTCAGCGGGGGTTCCCGTGGAGCCCGGGCCAGGACACCCCCTCTCGCCTGCCCAGTCCTGACGGTGGCCACACAAGCCACCTATTAGGTTGTTCAATAGGCTTATCCAGTTAACCGCTCCCCGGCTCACCCTTGGGAGAGAGCCGCAGGAAAGGATTTATTACTTGAAACAAATTGTGACTTCCCCAGGGAGAAGGATGCTGAGCGGGGGAGGGGGAAAAAAGAGGCCTCGAAGGCTCCCAGTCCCTCCTGGAAGCGTCTGAGAGTGGAGAGAGCCGCCCCGCAAGAACTCGAGCCGTCGGTGCTCCCGCTGCCCGCACTGTGACGGCGCCGCTGGCCCGGGGAGGGGGACACACACCCCCGCCCACCCCGGGGGACAGGTTGGGAGCATAAACAGGCGAGAGCGGCTCTAGCCTGGGCGCCGCACTTTGTTTGAGACGTGCAGCTTCCATGTGTTACCACATAAACACACGCTAACGGGATGCTTTATGGTCCAGCCCTTCAGGGGAGGGGAAGGGGGTAGGACAGGGGAGAGGAGAGGTAAAAAAATCCCCCCACCCCCAACCTGTCCTCTCGCTAACCCCACGTCCCCCTCGCCTCCCTGGACGGGACCCCCCTGCACCACACGGGGCGGGAGGCAGAGCTCAGCAGCCGTCTCGGAGGCTTTATTTTAACTACCACCTCCTCTCCGCGGGACCAGCCCATCGGCACCGCCGGCACTGCGGACAGGGACCGGCCCAGCCACCAGGGCGGCTCGGTGCTCCTCGGCAGGCCCTAAGTGTGGGGAAGGGAAAGCTACGTCGGGGAAAGTGTCACCGTTCCCCAGAAGGGTCCCGGGGCGACGGGACACCTCCGTCCCTATCTCCGCAAAGCCGTCGGGCCCCCACCCGAGGGGCCAGACTGGCCTAGCAGGCAGCCTTGCCAGTCCCCCAGTTTGCAATTTTTATTTTTCGCTGGGTCTTGTGAGATCCCACATGGATGCCGTTAACGACCTCTCGATAATGATCATGACAAAGGCATTATTCAAATGAGGCAGGTAATTGCAACCAGAAGGCGCCTCCTCCCCTTTCATTTTGCTCCTTTCTTTTCGAAATAGTAACTCTCGCATTACATCCCATCCTGAACCTATTTCGCCAGGAATCGGCCCGAATGTTAAACCAGATACGCTCACGCCGGTACATCGTGCCCGAGCCCTGCAGGATCGCCCCGGCACATAGGCGGCTGACGTTCATCTTCGAGGGGCTTAAATTTGCTAGAGCCCGCAGCTCTAATCCAAGTCATGATAAAGCATTTCCCTCCACAAATTAAGGGTTTCAGGATGCTGGGTGCACTCGCCCTCTCAGATGGAGAGTTCCAGGGTGCGGTATGGGTTTTTTTCTCCTGTGTTGTTTGTTTGGTTTGGATTTATTTTTTTTTCTCCGTGCTTTTTGACTCACTGGGAGCCTGTTGTTTATTCACAAGCATTACGGTATCCTGTTAGCATTCCGACCAGGGGCTGCTCATAGATGTGACTCCGATGATTTCCTGGAGGAACATGTGGAAGCAATAGCGGGGTTGTGCACTCACCCGAGCCGAGGATGCACTAGTGGAGGGTGTGCAAAGGGCCGGGAGCGCCGCCGGGAACCCTGAGAGCCCAGACAGGGGTACCTCAGCCTGAGCGCGCATCCTTGGGAGTTGCCTCTGTTCTCTTCGGGGCATCTTCGTTTCAGAGGCTTAACTCTCCCTTGCTTAGGAAAGAGAATAACCACCGGCTCCTGGCTCTTGACTTCGAGAACAAACTTTTGTTTAATACTAAATGAGAGAAAGAGGTGCGGGTGGTGATGCTGCTGGACTGGGGAGGCAAAGAAACGGGAGAAGCCCCGGCACGCAGCCGTGGCGCCGGTGCCCTCCCCAGAAGGCAGGCGGCGGGCAGGGACCCGCTCCGCT